GGTTAAGATACCGTTAATACTTACAAATGGCCTTTTTTCAAAAATACCGGCAACGAGGGTGCATATAACTTCGTAGTTAATTAAAAATATGTTCTCCTGAAGAGGGGAGCCAGATTGAATACAAAATGCATCGTCATCAATAAATAAATTGGTTGAAATAGACCGCTATTTATTTGTATCGAAGGAAAGGCAATCAAACCAAAAAAAAAAAAAAAAAAATAGACGAGTAGTAATGTAAAAGAAATTAAGAACAAATGTAAAACGTACTGAATATTCCGGATATAAATGACTTATGAAGTGTCAGATTTACTCTTTTATTTGCTATTTCCCATTATTATTGATATTTTTTTAATTTCTACGTTATTTTCGCTCAACGTAGACAACATATTTGGCTTTCATATTTCATGGTTTCTTTTAATAGACGAATAAGTTTTAAATTTGGCAACCCAACGCCATAGAAGGCAGACAAATTCAAATATATGAAAATTAATTAAACAATGGTCCAGCTTCTGATATTTGGTTACCAGATATAGTTCTAGACTTGGGGACAGAAGGGTTGGGATTACAGGTTACCCAAGGGCCCATTGGGCCAAAGGATTTACACCTTAGACGCCCTTCGCTCTACTAAGTCAGCGAGGCCGACTTGAGAATCCCGCCTATCTCACACCTCGGCCTCCACTTTTCTCAAGGCAAGGTAGATTTTTAGACGTTCTCCTTTAGACGTACGACTGGAATTAAAGCCATTTGTTTAAAATGACAGGGAAATGGATGGTGGTGTATTCGGCTCTGTCGGGTGAAAAATGGTGAACTTATGAAACTTAATCTAAGAAACGTGGCACTTCTGCTATTAGAATAACAAGACTGGTTATGAACTAACTTTTTAATACCATTTTCCTATAAATTTTACTTAGTTTGTGGACCTGAAAACTAAAAAATATTATTGATTTAAAAATTCGATTATAATTTTATTCAATTTCATTTGTCTATAAATCATACATCAGCTGGCTACAAAATTATAAAATATTTGTTCCATTCAAATCCCATCTCTTTTGATATTTTCTCGATACAAAAAACTCAATATTTTTTTAGTTTACACCGGACAATATGCCCTAATTGCCCTGCGTAAAAACCCAATGAAGTGCTGAGATAACTTTATAACCAAGCGAAATTGAAAGCTCTGAATAGGTGGGTGGAAAAATAAATTTGTGAATAAGACCGAAAAAGTTTTCAAAGTTTGAAATGGTGGTAAATAAATGAACAAAAAACTCCGCAAAAAAGTTATCCTCAAGGAGAAAGAATTGGAGGAGCTATGGAACGATTTTTCAATTATTATACCATCCCCTCAGTACACTTTTATCTACGAGTTATAAAAATAATATAAAAAAAGAAATCAATATACCCGAGGAAAATGTATTCATACGTATTAAAAACGAATTTGACACGAGACTACTATTCATAAAAATAAACTAATGCTTAAAAAGTACTTATTAACTATGCTTGACTATAACCAGGTGAAGTGGTTATGAAGAATGTAGTACTAGTTAAATTATTGCGCAATTAGATAAAACTGGTGTTCTTTAATATTTATGGTCACTTAAAAAAACATTTTTACTTGTATACAAACATTTGTTACTTTTATACATCACTTCATTCTTGCTTCAGCCCAACTAGCCATAACATTTCTTTTAATTATTCGAAATCTCATTTCAGCAGAAAGTTTCCATGCAAAAAATTAAACAAAACTTTTACATAGTTCATAGAAAATACTTGAACATTTTCTCTTTTATATATTTTTTAGTTTAGTTTTTTATTCTGACTGCTTAGTTTTTAGTTTAAAGTTTTTATATTGCCAACATGCATGTGGCCCCACTTATTTTATCATTTGTTTTTCTTTCTTAAAAGGTGACATGCTTTCAACATTTCACATATCAGAGCTATTATCGTTTATGTTGGCGACATATCCGTTTTGTATAAGTAGTTGATATTTTTTACCCGCTTTTCAAACTGATATCGTTAATTGACTGCAACAATAAACGACCATAATATCAGCAAAGAAGAGTTTGGGATTGATGCAACAATTGGCAAAAAGTTTATCCATGGTTTCGGTTTTGTTTCTGCTCTAACCACTTGAGCTATGGTGACTTCGATCCACTCGGACACCAACTCTCCATCTCACCCTACAACCTTTCCAATTTTTCTCTCTTTTTGCCATTTTTCAAATGTCCTGTAATCAGGATTTGATTCTCAGCGACTTATGTAGTGGCCACGGGGAACTGTTAACGAAGTGATTACTTCTTTTCTTACTGTATTCATCCATATATGTTTTGGGGTCATAATTATTTTAATTAATCATTATTTTTATCTAAGGTCATGTTTGAGATGAAAAAGCTATGTCATGAGCGGGATTCGAACCCACGACCTTCGGCTCAATACGCGGCTGCACTAACCACTTGAGCTATGGTGTCTTCGATCCACTCGGACACCAACTCTCCATCTAACCCTACAACCGTTCGAATTTTTCTCCCTTTTTGCCATTTTTCAAATGTCTTTTAATCAGGATTTGATTCTCAGTGTCTTATGAAGTGGCCACGGTGAACTGTTAGCGAAGAGATTACTTCTTTTCTTACTACATTCATCCATATATGTTTTGGGGTCATAATTATTTCAATTAATTATTATTTTTATCTAAGGTCATGATTGAGATGAAAAAGCTATGTCACGAGCTGGATTCGAACCCACGACCTTCGGCTCAATACGCGGCTGCACTAACCATCTGAACTATGGTGACTTCGATCCACTCGGACACCAACTCTCCATCTACCCCTACAGCCGTTCGAATTTTTCTCTTTTTGCCATTTTTCAAATGGTGTGCAAACAGGATTTAATTCTCAGTGACTATGAAGTGGCCACGCAGAACTGTCAACGAAGTGATTACTTCTTTTCTTACTATATTCATCCATATATGTTTTGGGGTCATAATTATTTCAATTAATTATTATTTTTATGTAAAGTCATGGTTGAGATGAAAAAGCTGTCATGAGCGGGATTCGAACCCACGACCTTTGGCTCAATACGCGGTTGCAATAAGCACTTGGATCCACTCCACCAAAACTACCAGGTTCATCACCTCACACAGCTAAAAAACATCACGATAAGCGTTGTTGATATCATTACATTTCTGTAATAAAACTAAAGGATGAAAAGAGCCCTTGCAAATCTCACAATTTTTGTGTGTTGCTGAATTTTTTAACCCAGTAATTTTAAAAACATTGCCAATACCGAAAACCTATTTATTACGGTAAGATAATAATATTTTTATATTGTTTATTAGGATCAAGAAGTTATCCAGTGATAGCTATCGTGGTTATAAATTAACTTTTTATCAATAATGTAATAATGATAATATACGTCATATCAAATCATATATTATTGTTTACAAGTATTGTTTTATTTATTAACTATGTGCGGCATGGACAATATCATACAACCGGATTTTAACAATAATAATATAATAATAATAATCAATTAAGGTTTTCAGTTGAGATAAAAAAGTCAATGGCACGAGCGGGATTCGAACCCACGATCTTCGGCTAGATACGCCGCTGCTCTACTACTTGAGCTATCGTGACCTCCATCCACTCGGACACCAACCTCCCATCTCAACCATAACTTTTGAATTTTCCCTCCTTTTTGCCATTTTTCAAATGTCGTGTAATCAATTTGATTCTCGGCGACAAATGAAATGGCCACGGAGAGCTTTAGTGAAGTATACTTCATTTTAAACTTATTAAATTCACTAGTTTCGTGTTCATGGTGGAAAAATGGCAAAAAGGAGGGTAAATTCAAAAGGTGTGGTTGAGATGGGAGGTTGGTGTCCTAGTGGATCGAGGTCACGATAGCTCAAGTGGTAGAGCAGCAGCGTATCAAGCCGAAGATCGTGGGTTCGAATCCCGCTCGTGCCATTGACTTTTTTATCTCAACTGAAAACCTTAATTAATTGTAAGATATTAATTGGTTAAGCGGACCACGAAACTAGTGAATTTAATAATAATAATACTTTATTGCAAAAAAGAAACGTTATAAACATTACATAAGATATAATTTAAAGCCGGATTTTAACAATAATATATTAACCAGTATTATATTATGCATTACGAATTAAAATAACAAGAAAGGTCCTGTAATAACTATATTGGTAATGGGTCAGTTATGTGATTTCTTCTTTATTATTTATTAACATAATAATTATATTTTACCGTATATGTTTAATAATTTTCACTAAAACTTAACGATAAATATCACGCAGTTACGGCGATATTTGTTTTAAAAATTGTTAAAATCTGCGACGGAATGTAGATATTTATTATGCTTCGATATGTAGGAATCTCTTTTCAAGAAGTAGAAAGGGGATTTTCCCTTCCAGGCCTCGTATCTGCATTCAAACGCCTTCAAGACAGTTTAGTCGGAAATTCAAAGACCCACGGTCCTCCAATTTACCCAGGTCCTTCTTTTCCACCGCATCCCATTCCACAGAGGCCAAACTGGAGCCCCAGGGCGTTTCTCTCCCTCAGCATCAGGACATTTATTAGACTACAAAGAGCGTTGTTATACAGTTTACCATTCTGACGTAACGCCAATATCTAACAGGTGAAATTTACATATTGGCATTACGAATGCACTATTCCATTAACTTGATTGGTGGCTGACATGAGACTAATGTAGCACTTAGTGCGTTATACACAATATACCCTCGAACAGATATTCTCCCATGGTGTCACCGCAATGATTGATTTGGAATTTAAAACATCTTATAGCTTATATAAACCGACACCAAAAACTATACTAGTCGTAAAACATTATTTTTAAATTGTGATTTTGGACGTAATCGTGTTGTGTAACTGTAATTACGTTTGTTTGTGTCTGTTCTCCTTTTGTAGTTATGCACTTTATTATAAATAAAATATGTTACTTTCATATTAATTCATGTCTTTTATTTATAGATTTCAACGTCCTTGCAGCAGCCAAAAAAGTAAGTGTTGCAATTTTATTTATTTCTTAATTGCTTTTTAATTAAATTTATTTATTAAAACTGGTCTTATTAGATTAATTTTACAATAATATTATACAATAAATAAATGTATACATTCTTATAAACCCATTGGTATAATAAGATTTACATTTCACTACTCACTATTCATTTTTAACTACACAAGTTCGTACGGCTTTGTTCTTTTTAATCTTCTGATTTTGTTCTTTAATTGTTTTTAAGACGGAAAATACCCTTCCTCATATACGGTCGTCGTTCCAGAACTACGCACCTCTTCTAAGAAAAAACCTTTTTGAAGCTTGATGTAGTAAATTGTAAATCCCAGGCCCTGAAGATGATCTAAATAAAGATCGAAACGTTGGCACGATAAAGAAAATGTTTTTCTGAAACCTACATCACACCAGACCGCATCTCACGATTTCTAAATAAATATCGATTAACGGTCACTAATCACCACACGTAAATGTAGGGTGTTGGGGTTGTGTGTTTTTTCGAATCAAGCAGGTTTCACGTGTCTTTAGTGTCGCTTTTTCCAAATTAAAGTGAAGTTCGATTTTCAGGTTGACTTTTTGAACTTTTTTTTAAATTACGTGTTTTTCCGTAATCAAATTATTTTTTCTTTCTCAAAAATACTTGGATTTTAAGGTATAATCGAGGACAGCACGTCAAACGAATTTCTTTGTTCATCTTTTTGACCTTTCGCTTCCTCGCGATTTGGTATATTCATATTGTATTGAACGTAATTAATTACTAAATATGAATATTTTCTAAATTATTTAGTTAATAATCGCTAATAAGCATTACATATGAATATGATTAATTGCAATTAATTATGATATAATTGCCACACATTTAATTTAATAATATGCTTTAAAACATATTTCATTATATACATATAAGGAAATCATTGTACAACTATGTTTATTATTTGTAATTATCACAAATAACGTTGATACATAAGTAATCACTTTCAATTAAATACATTTTAATTTCTTTATATACTAACTGTGATTCGTTTTGATTAAAATTTATTAACCGTTAATAAATAAAAACATAAAATTAGTCAAATTTGTCATAATACATTGTGACTGGCGATTAGTGTCGAAAATTTTAGGAGGGGTTTCTACTCACCATTTGCAATAAAACACCATGTCCAACGGTAAAGAAGTAATTTCAGGTTTTGGTTTTTTTTTTAAATTTTCCGACTTAGGTCCACTAAATTACTTATAAACTTCAAAATTACCTTAAACAAATCTGGTTTTGGCCACCTGAAAGAACGTTAAATTTGTTGCAAGGAAACCTATTTGCATTGCAGAATAGATAAGAAGATTCTGCACGAAAAATTCAGAAAAAACAAAATGTTGAAATTTGGAATTTTTTTAAAATGTTGGATTGCTAACTGATAATAACTACAAACACCTGGAGCTTTCCAGAACTACCGTTAAAAGTTCTCCGTTCAATTAGCTTCCAGCTTTATACCCACTTTTATGTATTGCGCTTCTGGAGGGTCCAAAAATTTTGCATTTTGTTGAAAAAAACTGGTGATGAAGGGGACCATGTTCAATTTTTGCAGGAAATCCGTCTGGCCGTTGAGTTTCGAGTCAGTTATTTATTATTCAACACAATCCGTTTTCTTTATATTATCAGGTGACAACGTCCACAGGTTGGTGATTTAAATTATGCCCTTGTTTCCTAATGCACATCTTGATGATATGTATTTACGGTTACTGCACCGGTAATGCTACTGATGTAAGGGGAGAATATCGAGCTCGTTTTCCACATTGAGACGTCCAGCAGATTGCACCTTCCAAACTTCATCAGAGACTGAGGGGAAACTGGTACTTTCACCCGCAGAACGAGGGAAGAAATCAGTGAATTGATGTAGAAGAAGACATTTTGGATTTTATTAATCATGATCCCGAAACCAGTACACCTGCATTATGTTTAGACCTTGGTCTTTAATAATGAAGAGGTTGGGATACCTTCCGACGGGAAAAATTGTACTCTTACCATTTGAAACGGGGCAAAGTTTGGAATGAAATGACCACCAGCAATTTTTTCCTTTTGAGGGAATTTGCAAAGCTCCAGGAGTTGAATTTCAACATTTTTGTTTTTCTGAATTTTTCGTGCAGAATTTTTTCATAAATTCTGCAATGTAAATAGGTTTCCTTACAGCAAATTTAACATTCTTCCAGGTGGCAAAAACCAGATTTTTCTATTTTTCAGTCAGTAATTCTGAAGTTTATAAGAAATTTAGTGGACCTAAGTCGAAAAATTAAAAAAAAAAACCAAAACCTGAAATTACTTCTTTACCATTGGACAGGGTTTTATAGGAAGCTTTTTGTTGCATATGGTGACTAGAAACACTTCCTGAATTTTTCAACAGCCAGCAGGATTTCCTGGAAAAATTGAACATGGCCCCCCTTCATCACCATTTTTTTATCAACAAAATGCAAAATTTTTGGACCTTCCAAAAGCGCAATACATAAAAGTGGGTATACAGCTGGAAGCTAATTGAATGGAGAACTTTTGAGGGAAGCTTTGGAAAGCTCCAGGAGTTTGTAGTTATTAACAGTTAACAATCCAACATTTTTAAAAAATTCCAAATTTCAACATTTTGTTTTTTTTCTGAATTTTTCGTGCAGAATCTTTTCATCAATTCTTACAGCAAATTTAACGTTCTTTCAGGTGGCACGAACCAGATTTTTCGACAGTCAATAATTCTGAAGTTTATAAGAAATGCAGTGGACCTAAGTCGAAAAATTACAAAAAAAAACTCAAAACCTGAAATTACTTCTTTACCATTGGACAGGGTTTATAGGAGTTTTTGTTGCACATGGTGAGTAGAAACACCTTTTGAAATTTTCGGCACTTATCGCCAGTCACCCTGTATACCGGCGGGCGTATGTAAATAATTTACAGCCACATTTTAATTAAGGATGATTAATAAACCTAAATAAATTTCAAAACTTAAAAAAATGTTATCTGGACTGTCTTGACAAATCACAGCCTTAACGAACGTATCGATTTAATATACATAATAATAAGGAAAAAATGGTTAGGTTCATAAGTATTATCGCGTGAGGAAATGTTTCAGTGACTGAACGACAAGAATATACCTGCTTTAATTACTTAATTAACGGGAACCATATTAAAGCTAAGTTCTCGCTTTCAGTGAATCCAATCTAGATAATTTAATCTATTTGGTAATATTTGTCCAAGCATTTCTTATTATTTTATTTTCCCTCTGTTTGCATAGATAGTCAATTATCGGATGAAATTTTTTTTCAAAATTATATCATAAATTTTAGTTTACATAAAAATACAGTATCAAAAATTAACAATTGCTACTTTTTAACAAACGTTAATTAGTATGGTGATTAGTGACCATTAGTCGATGATTATTCGGTGATCGTGAGATGCGGTCTGGTGTGACGTTTTAGAAAAAAGGGTTCAGATAGGAAGTTGATGTCTGAGTGGATCGAGGTCACGATAGCTCAAGTGGTAGAGCAGCGGCGTATCTAGCCGAAGATCGTGGGTTCGAATCCCGCTCGTGCCATTGACTTTTTTCATCTCAACTAAAAACCTTAATTAATTGTAATGATTTAATTGGTCAAGCGGACCACGAAATTAGTGAATTTTAGAAAAACATTTTGGCCACTCTCAACACGACACACAAGAATGGCACAATTACGAAGAAAACAAACACTTTGAGTCTTGAAGATGGTCTCAATAAAGATAGAAACATTGGCACGATAAAGAAAATGTTTTTCTAAACCCTGCGTCACACCAGACCGCATCTCACGATCTTTTTAACTAACGCAAACGCAAAAATTAACAAAACTATGTATGTGTATACATGTATATAATATAATAGCTTAAGTAATAATGTTTTTGGTCTTGGTGAAGGTGTGTGAATGCATTATTATTCTTTATCCATTCATTTTCTATTATTATTTTTTCTTTTCAACAATTTATTAACAATAATCCAGACAGTTTAATTAATTATCACGTATACAGTTGGATGTGTATAAAAACATTTTCTGATTAAAAATTATACTTATTTATTATACGTAAAAAAAACAAAAAAACAAATATAAATAAAGGGGCGTCGGTGGCCGCAACGGTTTGGGCGTTGACACTGCGCTCATCACTAAAGCTAAAGGTCCCGGGTTCGAATCCAGCGGCCCGACATTCGAACCCGACATACTTAGGCACTCTAAGGGTTTATATGACCTTTCCTGTTGCTAACCCTCGTAAAAAAAATTAATAAAGATAATAAAAATTTACATAAAAAGAAGAAGAAGAAATTATTTTGGTGAGATAGCTATCAGTCTTACTACTATCATTTCATTTACAAGGTTTAAAAAAACCTCTTGATTCCTATTTCAAACTTTTTCATTATGATTTTGGTACCACTTCTAATGATTTTTTTTTTTTATTGTCTTTATGTGGGGTGTTTGGTGACCGTCACTTGATGATTATTTGAAGGTCGTTAGATCCCATCTCACGACCTCCAAATAATTGTCCCTGTGCTTTAATATATGTATTAGCCAAACTCCATGTATTATGATAAAATTTTATTTTTGGAGGAACGGCAGTGTAAAAGATAATTCCAGGGCCGGCTGTGTAAATCGAACACATGACATCGGTGTCTAGGAGCCACGAGTTTTTCGGCTACCCCCTCGGCAACCGCGGTCTCTCAAACATGGTTGCTTACAGTATTAAAAATTATAGCTTCAATAATTAATTTTGTGTTTTGCTTATTAGGCGAAATCCATCCCCCGTGTAGTTTAAATTACAATTGGCAAAAAATTTGTTTATTTTTGACTCAACATTTCATCTTTTTAAGGTTTAGCCTTTCGTTGAGTCACTTCCGATATGCGAAAACCATCCGCCTGCTCGTAATGGAAATTGAAATAAAAATAAAAACGGCCGTCATAATTGCCTTTCTGCATAATTTAACATAAATGTTAATTACG